TGTCGCGAAAGTGGGGGTCGGCTTGATAGCCGCAGATGAAGCTCTCCCGCAAGTCGTCGTCGATCTCGAAGGTAGAGTAGACTGCGGTGCAAAGAACCGGTCGCCGTGAGAGGGCGTCCGCAAAACGGTTTGACTTCCCGGGAATGTGATCGGGGAAAAAGTCAAACTGGTCGATGAAAGTCATCCATCGGGCAATGGTACTGTTAATCGTGTCTTGCGACTTGTAGAATACCAACGGATTGTTATCCGTTACCCATCGGAATGCTTTCCGACCAAGGAGGAAATGTCGTCAACGCTTGAGGGCATGGACGAAGGCAAGAAGCTCCTTCTTTCGTGCGTCGTCGATCGAATGCACGGGAGGTACTTTCTTGCTAAAGTACTCGACCGGGTGCCAGTCCGTGCCACCGTGCTGCTCAAGGACGACCCCAATGCCATAGCCCGACGCATCGGTAGTGACGTGCGTAGCTAGAAGCGGGTCGTAAATATGTAACACCTCGGCGAATAAGAGTGCCGCTTTGAGTGTTTCAAAAGAATGGCACGCATCGCCGTCGAAGTCAAAAGGCCGCTCCTCGCTTTGTAACTTGCTTAGGTTGGCCGCGATCTTCGAGTAACCCTTGATGAAGCGCTGATAATAACCGGCCAAGCCGAGAAAGGATCGGACGTCCGTCACATTCTTCGGCCCGGGCCACTCCTAGATGGCTTGAATCTTGTCCGCCAACGGATGAATGCCTTCCGGAGAGACAAAATGACCCAAGTAATCAAAGCTCTTGCCGGACAAACTCGCATTTGTCGCGGTTGGCTTTGTACCGGGCTGACCGAAGAGTCTCTAGAACACGGCGAAGGTGCTCGAGATGCTCCTCTAGAGTTCGACTATAGACGAGGATGTCGTCTAAGTAGACCAAGACGAAGCGGTCCAACATAGCGTGAAACTCGGTGGTCATGGCCGCCTGAAAGGTGGCCGGGGCATTGGTGAGGCCAAAAGGCATAACTACCCACTCAAAATGCCAATATCGCGTCTTAAACGCGGTTTTGTACTGATCTTGCGGGCCGGATGGAAATCTGATGGTAGCCCGACTTGAGGCCCAACTTGGAAAAGTACTTGGCGCCGCCCAACCGCTCAAGCAAATCGTCAATGCGAGGTAGAGGCCCCGCGTTCTTGATGGTTTGCGCGTTGAGGCGTCGGTAGTCAATGCAAAGTCGAAGGTCCTTGTTCTTCTTCCGAACGAAGAGAACGGGCGCACCGTAAGGTGAGCTGCTAGGGCGGATCCAACCCTTGTCAAGTAGTTCGTCGAGTTGCGCACGGAGAACCGTGAGCTCCTCCTCGGACATGCGATAAATGCATCCCTTCGGTGGCACGGCGCCGGCCTCAAGTATGATCTCGTGAGAGATTGGCCGGTTCGGCACTATACCGGAGGGTGTCTCAAAAACATCTGAGAACTCGTCTAACAACCGGGTCACACGGGGGTGGGAATACACATTCGTGGACGATGAATCGATCGTCGGGACGGTTCGAAGAAAAGCGATGCCAATCTCTTCGACATGCTCGGAACGGCATGTGTCTCGAAAAGATTTGGCACTCAGGACTTGGCACCGAATGGAAGAGCGAGGAGGAGGAATAGTACACGGGACCTCGGCGCCAGTTGCATCACGAATCATGAGCGTGTGTCGATGGAAATTGACCGTGTGGTCCGCGCTAGAAAGCCAAGGCATCCCCAAAATGACATCGAAGTCGGTGTCCAACACGTCAAAAGTGACGGGTTCACATGCGTGCGGTGCARAGTACACCGGGACAGCCGAGATGTAACGGTCTAAAAGTTGTTTTGTCTTACCGTCGGCAAGAGGGACCGTCGTCGGATGTGACTTCCTCCGTACTTGTGCGCCAAGGCCAGCCCGAGTCATGAAGGACTGRCTGATGAAGTTGCGAGTTGCGCCGCAATCTAGCAAAGCATTGCAGGCCGCTTGCCCAATCTGAATGCGAACATAAAGCAACGGCACGTTGTTTTCTTCGTACCTTTGCGAGACAAACTCGCGGGCCACCTTGGCAACATAGCCAAGCATGTCCCCCACCGCGACTTCGTCTACCGTCGGCGAAGTTGGTGGTGCATGGAAGGAAAGATACTCGTGTAAGAGGGCGCATAGGGCTGCGCTTTGCGGCCCCGGAAGGTTGCCCGTCGTAGGGAGAGGAATCCAAGCGAAGTCCTCGGGCGTGAGCGGGTCCAAAGCCTCCTCGTTGAACACACTTGCC